AGAGAGAGAGAGAGAGAGAGAGAGAGAGAGGAGAGGGCAGGGAGAAAGGGTACGTGTATTTAGAATTCAAATGACTGACTGCACTTCCAACCTGATCCCCGCCTGATTGTCGACACCGCCCCACCTCTCTCCGTGCTTCGATCCCTGCCACATGTTAATGACGATAATCCAATTCTATGAATTTATCACGAGCCGATAATAAGCAGCGACGTTCGTTCCGATTTGTCCGCCAGATTCGAGATTATCGTTCGGTTGATTTTAATTCGACGCGAAATCGCGCGAACATCCTATTGTGACAGACACACTGTGATCGTATACGCGAGTGACACTCTCGGGAGCCCGATTACGCTTCGTGCAGACAAGAAATCAAGGAACGAGAGTTTCATCGATTCCCTCAGACTTGGAATTTAACTAGAATTACCTTGAAATTTATATTCGGGAAAGTACAGATGAATAATTGTGTGGAAACTGAGTCGAAAAAGAAACCAGCAAAAGTACGGGAATTAGTATTCAATGGAATTTTTGGTTTTTCTTCTAGAAGGCGAGGATGCCGCGGAGGAAGAGGATTCCTATCTGCTGGAAGAAGACGACGTGCCTTCCGCGACGATAGCCACTGACACGGAGCTGATCTCCGAAGCGGGAGGCCATCTGCCCGTGTTTCTCACCGAACCGGTCGATTCTTTCGTGGTGAAGAACAAACCGGCCACGTTACATTGCAAAGCCGCGCACGCGTTGCAGATCTACTTCCGGTGCAACGACGCGAGGGCGGACGACTCGCAGCAACAGGACTTTGTGGATCCCCACACCGGCACCAGAATCGTCGACTGCGAACTGAACGTAACTAGAGACCACATCGAGGAATATTTCGGCAGGGACAAGTTCAAATGCGAGTGTATCGCCTGGTCGGGTTCCGGGCAGATTAAGAGTCAACCTGCGACTGTCGATGTTGCCTGTAAGTGTGAAAATAATAAAAACCCTTCCCCTTTGTTTCCAAGATTAATTTTCCTATATTATTCCTGGCTGCGAATTGAAAGGGAACTCTCTGGATAATTGAAAATAATTAACCAACACGAGTGTGTGTTGTTGATTATATCAGACGATGAATTATGAAATTTTAATCGAGTGGCTAGGCCAGTCGAGCAGAAGTTTCAATTTAACGCGAGACATCTCAATTCTTCTAAGAACTTTGTCAATAAATACTCGGTCGTGGACAGTTGTTTGCCCCGCTGTCGGGATAGCCCACGACTTTCGTCTTACTTCGTTCGCCCCTCGTAATTATCTTGATTCTCCTAAGCGAGGTCATTATTTAATTCCGCCCCTTAATGCGAGGCAACACAATGACCGGCAACCATGGAGTTTCTAAGAGAATCAATTTAGGAAAGGACCGTTTGTCCGGTGCTCCGTGCTTATGTAACTCTCGTCCGAGACACAAAAACTTTTGCCCCGCGAAAATGCCGGGACGAATCCCACGAGTTTTATTATCGGCGTGATTAACGTATTCTATTATGTCAGATATATATCGCACAGAAATATTCTTCAATTTGCAAAATTCCCTTCTCTGTTGTTTCATATATACATGTATTTGTCCTTTGCATCTATCTCGATTATTTCTTTCAGTTCACTAAATTTCGTTCTCACCTAGTTCCTATTTCATTTCCATCTATAAATTTTCATCTAGTCGAGAATGTTTCTTCCCCTCGACGAATTTCGCCCATAAATTTCCTTCGATTGGTAAAATTTATTTGTCACCATTATCTTTAATGCAGTAACCTCCGTCCTCGTTTCCATCTTTCGGCTCGACCGCTATTTCTTTTTTCCTCGACCCGTCCAGTCCGTATCGTCTTTCTAAGAGCAATAAATCCCATTTTCTCAGACCTGAAGAAGCAATTCGAGTCTCCGCCGTACTCGGTATCGGTGGAGGCAGGCCAGAGCACCGAACTCAGGTGTCTTCCTCCTGTGGGAGTGCCACCGCCGAGGGTCTACTGGCTAAGAAATAACGTCCCCGTCGACACGGAGTCGGACACGCTTTTAGTGTCTAGCGAGGGACACCTTCTGGTTGGCCAAGCGAAACTCAGCCACCAGGCGAATTACACTTGCGTCGCGGAGAACATCGCGGCCAAAAGGCTTAGCGAGCCTGTCAGCCTCACGGTGTACGGTGAGTTCTCCTTGCTCGCATTGTCTTCCGTTTCAAAGGAATGCAATAACAACAATATTGGAATTTTTTTGGAATTCCATTCACTCTCCGTAGGGAGATGTGTCTTTTTTCTTTTAAATTAATTAATAAGTATATAATTTTGTAGGCTCGAAATCTATCACATCGTAGAACTGTTTGTCCAATCAAATATTTGAAACTTTTCTCGATGGAAGTAATCAAAAATCGTGAACGGAAACGAAATTGAGATAATACAACGAAATTAATGAAAATTTATGAAAATTTCATTACAGTGAAAGGAGGTTGGTCAGCGTGGTCCGCGTGGTCCGAATGCCACTCGAGGTGCGCGAAAGGTGGCCAAAAACGGACGCGAACGTGTACGAATCCCGCTCCGATGAACGGCGGCCAGCCTTGCATGGGTCCGTCTCAGCAGAAGATGGACTGCAACATCGCCTGTCCCGGTAAGTGTCCCGCGAATTCACTACCTGCCGGGACAGAGAATGAGATTTTCAAGGAAGCATCACGGTTCGTTAAAGTCGATACCGAACGCGCGCCGATCTCCGGTTCCGCGAGCCGAGATTTCTTCTTGCCAACACACTTGCTTGCAGTGTGTGCGTGTGCATACCCCAACCCCAACGCGTTTATTTCTATCCTCGATAGCTCGAGCTAACGAGCGAGAGCAAGAGGAGGATCCTT